CTTGCTCCCAGCACTGGCTTGTGAATGGAAGGGGGGTGTGCATATAAAGTCGTTGGGAGCTTGGGCTCTGGAATCAGACTGGGAGCTCATCTTTGAAAGGAGCAGTGGGGCTCACCAGGGCAGTGGTTGTGTCTGGTCTTGTTTGACATCAGGCAGGTTATAGGGCTTATAACCCTAGTGTTGTATCTGTGAAATAAGTAGTTTTCTACCTGGAGGTGATGAGAGTTAGAGATAATATTCCTAAACCACCTAGGACATGATAGGTACTCACACAGTCACTCTCATGTCTGCTAATTCTGGCTTTGTTTTGCAGCCTTCTTTTTGAAGAGTATATTTCATATAATTCACAGGAAGAAATCGATCCTAATAAAGCATCTTTGCTTAATGAACAGTTTCTTCCACTTATCAGACTTTTAGAAAGCAAGTAAGTTGTGTGTCTTCATGCCTCTTGTTTTGTTAATGTGTGCCTCTTGCTTCATTTTAATACAGTAAGTGAGTTGTAAAGAGCCTGTCTTTTTTTTCCCCTTCAGGAAGGGACAGTATAGGATTTAAATATATTTCAAATATTAGAGGATAATTTTTTTTATTGACTTTTTTGTTGTAGTAAATCACAGGACAAATTTGGTCGCTATCACTTGGTTTTACATATTTTAGCTGTGAAAGTTTTAGTCTCAATCGGTAATTTTAAAACTTTATTTATGTCTTTGATACATATAGGGTACGTGTGGTTCATAACTTTGTATTATTTTTTATATGAATTAACTCTTTGAATTTCTTCTCAGATATCCTAGAACGTTAGATGTTGTCTTAGAGGAACACCTAAAGCAAATTACAGACCTAAAAAAACAAGAACTTTTTCACCAATTTATCTCTCTTTCTACAAGTGGAGGGAAGTACCAGGTGAGTTTTTCTTCAGAGGAATTGAGGCAGTTCGGGCTGTATCTGTGTGAGTATTTGAAGAACTCAGGAGGAAATGGGCTGTTTCACTCCTCTCTTTGGAGTGTTTTATGGAGAGATGAGATTTTACAGCTTTGCCTAGTTATTGAGGTAAGGCTATGAGGCAGGGATTGAATACCAGGAGAAAAGTACAGGATTTGAACTGAGTATGGTACTTATTTCAGGAAACTTAGTGTTTTGAAATTCTATATATGATGCTCAGTAGTAGTCACCAAAGGGTGGCCTCACTCAGGTTGTAGTGTCCTAACCTTTCCCCTCTGTCTGCACTCTCCATGTGGTGCAGTCACCCAGGGAGGCTAAATCATTGATCAGAAAAAAAGGAGGTGGACTTTTATTTCATGATCATGTTAGAACTTCAGGAGTCTTCTGGTGATTCATCCTAAATCTTTATGCTGGAAGTTAAACATTTAAGCAGCTCTTATAATTAGCCTTGAAAATAAATATTATCAAGAGACATCATTGTTGGTTTTTCTCCTTTCATCTTCAAATTTAGCTTGGTATACAGATTTCTTTAGTCTAATTATGTAAGTGAAGTAGGTTGTTACTAACTTGAGTGTTATTATTGTGTCATTTAGAGGAATTGCATCTGTCTTCAGTGATCAGTTTTTTTTAGTTTAATTTTCGTTAAGGTGTTAATATAATGACTTACCTCAGGTGGTTTTCACTTGAATCTGTAATAATAAAAGCGTAATATGCTAATTAGACCAGACATCCTTCTGGATGTCCTTCCATCCTTCCTGACGAAGCCAGGGCTTCGAGGGAAGCCTGGGTCCCGGGTGAGAGGGAAGCCGGTGCTGGCAGCCGGGGGAAGGAAGGCCTACTCTTGCACGAATTTCATGCATCAGGCCTCTGGTCATGTATATAAAGTACACAAAATTACTTCATTGAGTTACTAAGTTAAACCTACATTTAGACACAAGCATACAGGAAATCATAGCTTTAACAACACATATTTTTTCATCTGTTATAAGCCATACCATGTTCTGGAGACAAAGGTTTTACTTCCCTTTTTGGTTTCTGAAATTGGACAGTCGTTACTGAGTGTGTGGGGCAGTTTGGAGTCGTTTTCTCTGGTTTTTATTCTTGATCCTGGGCTGCTGGGATGTAGTGGTGAATCATCTGGTAATTGTGATGAATCCTTTAGTTTTTAGCAGATTCCAATACCTCCTTGATGCTCAGTCTGAATCACCCACTTGCCCCTGTGAGACTTCTGGCCGTTAATCATCTGAAAAATATCATGAAAACATCAAAGGTTGGTGTCCAGTAGCTTTCCTTTGTGATGTTTTTATCCTTATGGTGAACTCATCTCAAAAGGCCTTTTCGGGATTGTCTGGTTCAAGGCCAGTGTGCCCAGGGTGTGTGCGTTTGCATTCAGGGCAGAGCCTGTTGTCCATGACTGTGTTCCGGAGCTCTTTCCACAAACCCAGCCTCCTTTCTGGTGTAAGTCTTACAAGGTTTTAGCAACTAAATATTTTTTTTCTCTCTTGTTCAGGAGAGTATCGATGAGTCTTTCATAACAGAAGCTATTTTAACCCGATTAGGTGATGATAGTATAGACGTCGTTTTGTCGGCAATAAGTGCTTTTGAGGTGAGTGAATTTGTTCTTTGAAATGCACATTTTTTTTGGTAAATATTTTCCTGCCCTTCTCACGTGATTCTCTGCTGTAGGCAGGAATATATTTGAAAATTATTCTTCCATTGTAAATTTGTTCTCTCGAGAGCACAGACGTAAGCTTGGTTGGGGAGAGCTCAGGAGAGTAATGAGATTGCACTTTGTGAATTTTACCTTGGGGTTATGGGAAATTGGCTCGTGAATGCCACTGTTGAGAAATTGCTCTCATAGAATTTTAAAATTACACTAGGATTCCTGGGAGATAAATTATTTGTAATTCATTATTTTTTGAAGGTCATTTAATAAGCACTGTATGAACTTAAAGCAAGTAAAAATTTATTCAGGATA